GCATGAAAATCCTCTTAAGGTTTTTTCCTTTTTTGCTTTGTCTAAGCGGCAGGTCATCTGATGTTCCACTAGGTGGCACTTTCCAGCAAACTTCAGTGGGTGCAGAGAAGCCTCACCTAGGTCTAACTGCAGGCAATGGATTCAAAAAACAAGGTTTGATGGTCTTTACTGGTGATGAGGCGTCTTTGCTCTTGAGAAGGCTGAACTTGTTGGTTAACAATTTGCTAGTGAGCACTGAAGCCACGGAATGTTAAGATTCGTCCCCGCTAGGGAAGGGGGCCACTCCATCCCTGCGGCTGGGCTCACTCATTCACCAGTTGCACTCTGGTCTCTTTCCCCCAACCAATCCAGCAGGAACTACTAACCCTCACTTAAAAGTCTTTGAAGAGTCCTGTGTGGTCAGTAGTGGACATCTGTTCTTTTTATCTGGTCAGTCAACAATGCCCTGATTTTCCTTGGGGATTTACCTTGGATCAGGGAGCCAGGGCAGGGCTCTCCCCAGCTTCCTATTGCCACAGGCTGGCTGTATGAGGCAGGCCTCCCTCTCTGGATTCTGGGAACTGCCCTCTCCTCACCCTTCGCTGGCCTAACATGGACAGCACACTGCCCTTTCTAGCCCTAAGGTACGGCACTATCCCAAGTGGTTATCCTATGCCTTGTCCTGTTGTCCTCTCATTAAACTCTCCTCAAATTCCCCAGTGTGAGCCAGCCACCCGTTTTCTGTTAGGGACAGATATGGAATTAGAACCTAATACAGGTGGAACCCAAGTCCAACACTCTTTCTGCAAAGCTATACAAGTGTGACTCACCTAGGCTGTTCTAATGAGACACTGGGTTTGCCAATGGCCCTCTGGGCAGTGCTTGTCCCTGTAGGAGGTCTGCAGTAAACAAGTCCCTGCCACTTGCTATAGGAGGCCTGAACACGGGGCTCAAACACACACACAGACACACACAGACACACACAGACACACACACACACACACACACACACACACACACACGCACACACTCTGGGAGCTCTGCTGACCCTTACCTCCAGTGCTGAGAGAGCCAATGCAGTGGGCTTTGCAAACTCCCTCTGTCCTTGCTGGGGGACTTGAGTTTGGAGAGCACTTTTCTGCATACTGTGCTGCACTTTGCTTTGATCATGTAAATGACCCTGGAGACCTCACCATAACAATACATAGAGATTGTCCATTCTTTTTTCCAGTCACAAAGTACTCCATGGTGTGAATAAACCGAGGTTTAAACAGTCCCCTAAGGGTGGACATTTGAAGTGTTTTCAATTGGGGCTATTAAAAATCATGCTAGAATGAATAACTTTGTGGGTGCCTTGTTCTGTGATGATTTGGAGGTGCATCTTTAGGGGAAATTTCTAGAAGTTAGGATTGGCTGGATCAAAGTGTAACCACTCCTTTAGTTTGGAAAGATATTGCCCAATTCCCTACCACAGGGGTTGAATCCTTTGTGCTCCTACCAGCAATGCATGAGAGTACTTGATTCTTTACAGCCTCGGTCCATGCAATACTTGTTCAAAGCATGCATCTTATATAAAAACTACACTCCCAGCTTCTCTTAAGAATTGCAAGATCTGGTGACACTGGGCCTCTTTTTCTGCATGCCAAGCTGGAGCTGAGTGGTCACTAAGGCCCAGTTGTCACTATGGCCCTTATGGGTCTTGAAAGTTTCAACTCCTGGTCTGGTCCAGCCCCTTCATTATGAAGATGAGGAGACTCTAACAGATTCATGGGGGAAACTGAGCGGGCACCAGAACCCAGGTCTCCTCCCTCCCAGTCCACTGCACCATGTGGCCTCCAGAGTAAGTACAAGAGGGATGAGTAGCGAGGCAGATAAGTGTATAAAAGCACTGACAACAGAGCGTTAAAACTGGAATTGTTTTTCAGTATTTACTAGCTCAGTAAATACATCACCCCCCCCCCCCCC